GCCTAGTGAGTGAGCCGGCCCTGCCTGCTGGATCAGACCAATGGTCCGTCTAATCCAGCATTCTATTTCACACAGTGGCCAACCAGGTAGGTTGAGCTGTGCTGTGTTTGGGAGCTGCAGCTGGTCCCACCCCAAACTAATTAGTGCTGGTGTTCAGGTGCTGCCTGGAACAGACCAACCTGTTTTTGAGGATCCATAAAAGTCAGGCATGTGGCTTCCATGTTACTATCTGCCCAGCCTGTGCTAGGACTTTACCAGGAGCAATCCAGGTATTGCGACAGAGCTGTCTCAAAGTGACTAGTCATCAGTCCTGATGGGTCCTGCTGTGCTGCATTTGGGAGCGGGTCACACACTGGATCTGATTTTCTGAGCAGGTATAGATCTAGAATTGCTGGTCATAGAGCCACTGCCATGGTAGGATAATACTGTCTTAAAGGTTGATATAAGATTTACCACTCTCCTCCACAGAATGCCTTGGATTGGTTTTCCTTGTTCTTCCAGGGATGTTCTCAGAGGGTAGCTATCAGGTGCCAATATTTTAACTGTTTTGATGATTAAGTTTATGGGGTTTTTTTTAATGTAGTGAGCCACCCTGAGCCCCGCATTGCAGGAGAGGGGCAGGACATAAATCTCTAAATAAATAAATAAACAGGGCACAGAGGCTAAGGCCTCCTTACACTGGTAAGGGAACCAAGAAGGTTGAAAAAGGGGGGGGGAGAAAAAAGTAGGTGTTTGGCTTGGTTCACATGTATTTTATGTGATTCATAACTGTACCTGGTCATAGGAAAGATGCTTGTGTGTGACATCCACATGTGTACAAGTACAATTTACTAATGATGTTTTTATATTATATAAGTAACCAAAATGTTATCTTTTTATGTACAGTTTTTAATATTTATAATCTGATTAAAGATTTAAAATGCAATTTTAGCTTTTTTGTAATTTACAGTGGTGATTCTATATATATTTCTTTTTTTCAATGTTTTTGGTCACCTGGTCTGTTCTGGGTTGAAATTTTCTCCCCACATCTCTTAAGAACATAAGAACAGCCCTGCTGGATTGAACCGATAATTTATCAAGTCCAGCATCCTGTCTCACACGGTGGCCAACCAGTTCCTCTTTTTGTTCATTTTCACTCCTTCCATTGGTTTTCAGTGGTTTACTGCTTCTGAATGTGGAAGTTCCCTTTAGACACAATGACTAGTAACCACTGATAGAACTACACGAATCTATGGAGTCCCCTTTAAAGCCATCTATAAATGTGGTTATCACTACATCCTTTGGCAGTGAAGTCCACATTTTTATCACTCATTAAGTAAAGAAGAATTTCCTTTTGTTTGTCCAGAATCTACTGCCTATCAAATGTGCTGGATACCTCTGAGTTCTTGTATTCTAGAAGTGGAAGAAAAAGTTATCTCTGTCCACACTCTCCACCCCATGCATAATTTTATAAACCTCTATCATGTCCCCCTTAGTTGTCACCTGCCATGGAACAGACAGATCAATTAGCTCAACATGGCTCCACTAACAGGGGTTTTGCTTCTCACAATTCCCCCTCCTTTTCTCTTTATCTCTTTCACTAGCAGTAAAGCCCGTTGTGAAAGCAATACAACGGGATCTAGAAAGAGGCTCTGGGGCAGTGCTCTGGCTTTGGGCAAACAGTGTCAATTTGCTGTGGTGACCTCAGCAGGGTATAATGACAGAGTCCACTGTTTTCTCCAGAGGAACTGATCTCTGCTACCTGAAGAGCAGTTGTAATTGTGAGTGATCTGTAGCCCTCACCTGGAGATTGGCAGCAATTGTTACCCAGGACAAAATGGCTGGTTTGGAGGGTGGAGTCTATGGCATTCTACCTGTCTGAGGTCCCACCCCTCTGCAAACCCCACCCTCTCCAGGCTCCACCCCTTCAAATCCCTAAGAATTTGTCAGCATGTAGTTGGCAACCCCATCTCCTTCCCAGCTAGCCATCAACCTACCATTATCTGCCCCTTTGACTTCAGCTGACCTCTGCCCTCCCTTCTGCAGAGCAGTTGTAATTCTGAGTGCTCTCCAGCCCTCACCTGGAGATTGGCAACAATGGTTCCCTATGTGGGACTGACTGGTTTGGAGGGTGGAGTCTATGGCAGTTTACCTGTCTGAGGTCCCACCCCTCCTCAAACCTCACCCTCTTCAGGCTCCATCCCTCAAGTCTCCAGGAATTTCCCATCTGGAGTTCGCAACCCTATCAGGACTGGCCCCAATGTGTTTTCTCCCAAAGGCCAAAGTAGGTGACAGGACCAAGCTTAGATGCCTACCAACAGGCACTGAGGGGAATGTAGGGTTGCCAGCTCTAAGGAGGGAAATACCTGGAGGTTTTGGGGGTGGATTCTGTAGAGGGCAGCATGGGG